CCATATGCAGTGTGTGCAAAGGCTCAGATACCTTATCTGTCACCTTATTCCTATAAGACATTCGCCGTGATTTTGCCAGCACACATGTACGACAGAAAATGATACCAGTTCCATTTTCTTTCTAGATAACTGGGGTGCATCTCTGATTACTCTGCCAGCCAGAATGTTCATCAGTCTGCCTTTACCGACATGACCTAGCCTCAGGTGCCACTCCTTCAACGTCTTTTGTATCTTCGATTGAGAAGTACTATCGACGGATAGTATTCTTGAATTATTATCCAGTTTCCTACTCGGTAAATAGTATACCTCATCTATTGCAACTGCAGCAAATATGAATCGGTTTTTACTATCAAGGAAGTACAAATACTGCCCACCTTTTGACTGAATGTGGTGATACCCTTGTGTGGCAAGATAATATGCACTAAGCAAGTTACTACCGCACTCTTTATCAAAGGCAACATTTTGTATTGAGATATCACTATAGTACCCTCTGGGTTTGAGAATACTAAATCTCACTGTCCCTTGGAGCTTGGTTGACGAGGTGCCTCCGTTTCCATATTCAAAGATATGAGTCCGTCCTTTGCCAAGCTGGCTGAACCACCTTCTATTTGAACTTATAGCGTGTCCAGCTCCTGTATCAACCACCCATAGATTATCAGTCAGGTTCAACTCCCTCAATTTAGAAAGATACTCAGGGTATCTTCTCCGTACCTCATCATCAATCTCCATTGAGTGCATCGGTGCCTCATCTTCGCTTCCTTCACTCGCTGGAACACTCCCCTTGTACTCAAGTTCGTCGGCATCCTCAATTGCCTTGTTCAAATTGAGGTCGAACTTGGCAGCTTGAGCTGGGGTCCTTTCTTCGTCTTGGTTCACCTTCACCCTCTTGGTAGTCGACTTGCCCCCCTTCTTGACCGTCATCGCTCGCTTTGTTTCGGTGACAGGAGCCGCCCGTATGTTTGAGCGAAGCAGCTTGCCTCCAGCCCTTTTCGGGTTGCGGTCAGCCGCCAACACAGGGCAGGCCTTCTTCCAGTGGCCATCTTCAAAGCAGTAATAACACTCGCTTACTGCCACTTCAGAGGATTGTCCTTGGTTCCTTTTCTTCCCCGTAAACTTTCTTGCCGCATTGACAGTCACTGGGCGTCTCTTATCAGTCAGCATCGTGGCTTCCTTCCTCGATCGATCACCGAAAACGCGGCGAAGACTCGTCTCCACGTTTTCAATAGAAAACCACTCTTCAGTCATGATGATTGTGCCTCCCCAAAACTCGCTTGGTAGTAACGCCAGCACTTCCATGCACAGCCAGGTCTCGGTCACCATGTCCTTGCCAACCAGACCCCTCATCTTCCTGTTAATGTCGTAACGCAGCTTCTTTAACTGGGCGAATAGGGCCCCCAGATTGGTCCAGTTCGCTGCGAGAAGACGCTCCCACTGGCGGCGCAGCTCGATTACGCCTCCTGCATCCCCGAGCCCGTACTTTTGCTCGAGCTCCTTCCATATGTCACAGGGATTCATTCGGGACACTTGATCCGGCAGCCCACTCAAGAAAACGTTAGGCAACGCTTGGTTGAATAAGTTCAACAGCTCGGACCGAGCCCTAGTCCAGTGTTGGTGGCGCCAACGCTTGGCCTTCGCCTCTTCTTGAGAAATATTTCCCTCCACCGAAATGATGGGTCTCTCAGGCGTACCCTCAAGGAAGTCCATCATGACAACCGTAGCCTCAGGCTGGTCCTTTTCCAACAGCCCTCGCTGGTATTTCTCATCCAGCGTCTCTATGTGCGTTAGCACCTTGTCTCGCCACATGGTGTAGTCCTCCCCATGGAGCTTTTCCAGTCCCAGGACCTGGGCACTCCTATTGTGTCCTTTAACCATGGACCTTAGTCTCCGTACGTATCTGAAATATTAAGCTCTATGTAATAGGCCGTCAGTTTCAAAGTGAGGAGGCCTTTTAAAGCGGGCGCGCCACGCGTCCTCCTCGCCATTAACATCCCTCGGCAATGTGTTTACTTATTAAGTTTCCTTAAGAAGTAGGATGTTTGAACCTTTTCTATTGGCTACATATTTGACCAATTAAGGTGCATTCTAACAATTTTGATCTTCGAGATGGTGGCTTCACTGCGTACTTTGGTGACCTTGGTGTGGACTCTGTCAAGATGCTCGAGTACTTCGCGTCGCTCCCTGGCACGATGGAGATCCGTCCGCAGTACAACCCGGCCACGTACATGTTTGAATAGATTGGTGCTGGTATTGGCCGTGACGTCAAGGACTACTCGATCGAGTACAAGAACAGCGAGCTGTACAAATCGAACCGCGAGCGCACGCTGCAGTTGGCTGAAGTGTCCGGCGACTTTGTGTGCCACTCGACTCTGAGCTACACGCCGATCGCCACGGGCTTCTTGAACCAGTTGAAGGAGCTCGCCGTTAAGCAGCAGCTCACGTACTAGCGCAACCCGCAGTACAATTTCTTGCGCATGTTCCTGTTCCCTCGCTTCGGTGTCATCTTCGGTCCGACCTTCTACCAGCTCGAGGCGGACAGCGTCAAGCGCATCAACTCGCACATCGGTCTCATCTACAACAGTATGGATTTCATCGGTGTCATCAACCTCATGACGGTGCTGGAAGTCACGTGTGCCGAGCGCGCCGTGTTCTACCGCGAACACATGTCGAACTACTACGGTCCGCTGTCCTACAGTCTGTCGCTGTGGTTCGCTGAGGTGCCGTACCTGATCTTCGTGATCGTGCTGTTCGTGACAATCGAGTACTGGCTGGTGGGCTGGAGCTACAACGGAGGCGACTTCCTCTTCTTCATGTTCGTCTTCTACCTCTACACGTCGGCTTGTACCTACGTGGGTCAGTGAATGTCAGCTCTGATGCCCAACGAGAAGGTGGTGAACGTGGCTGTCGGCGCGCTGTCGTGTCTGTTCAACTTGTTCTCGGGCTACCTGCTGCCGCGTCCGGCTATGATGGCTGGCTACAAGTGGTTCACTTGCCTGATGCCGTCGAGCTACTCGCTTGCGGCGCTGGTGGGCGTTCAGTTCGGTGAGGCGCAGGACGTAATCTCCGTCACGGACGGTGGTGTCACGACGGAGATGACGGTGGCGCAGTACATCGAGGACACGTACGACTTCCGACCGAACCGCAAATACAACTTCATGGTTGGTCTCATGGTGATCTGGGCCGTGCTGCAGATGGCCATCTACCTCACGTTCAAGTACGTAAGCCACCTAAAGAGATAAGCGGTGACGTTGAAGCCAAACGTTGTCCCGGTAGAGCAACGTAGGATTAATGAGTAGCTGCGAATGATAGCGGCTGTGTGCGTGAACTTTGTTTTTGAAGTAAATTCTTGTTTGATTTTACATCATTTGAGTTCTGCTACATGTCTGGCTTTACATAATAAGTAATTACTCGTGCCTCGCTGTGTGCCAATTTTGCTGCATCAAGTATTTATTTTCTGAGATGAAGATTTTCAATAGGTTATTTTGGTCTAGCCAGTTCGGTAACCCAATTATTTATTTTCAGCTTTGACCAATATTCGGCACCAAACGGCTCCATTGCTGCCATAATTGACGCGTCATACAGCGAGATAGTTCCGCGCGTGGTCATCAGTGTACACACCGAACGCCCTCCTGATCAAACGCAGCGCAAACGTGCGAGACTGGCGAATGGTCGGATCGAATGATAGCCTGCGTGTTCACCACAACGTTCTGCAACGTGAAGAGACGACGGAACGCGGGCTTGACCAGAGCGCTGACAAGCGCTACGATTCTCAGTGGGCGATCTTCTCCTTCGGATTGACAGGATGCGATTTCTCCACGTGTTCAGCGCCGCGCAACAGTCTTTGCCGATGACGCCCCTCGTTGCTTCCCAGCAGATTTCATGTTTGGGTCGGCCACCGCCTCGTACCAAGTTGAAGGCGCGTGGAACGAAGGCGGTCGCACTCCAAGTATCTGGGACGATTTCTGCCGCACGCACCACAGGACGAAAGTGGTGTGTGCCAACGTCGCTGACGCCTTTTACCATCGCTACCGAGACAACGTCAAGCTCATGGTCGACACTGGCTTGCAGTCCTCGCGCTTCTCCGTCTCGTGGTCAAGAGCCATGAACTGGAATCCAGAGACCAAACGTATGCAGCTAAACCCTCAGGGCCTTGCGTTCTACCACGCTCTTGTCGACGAGCTCATCGCCAACAACATCGTACCGATCTTGACGCTGTACCATTGGGATCTGCCGCTCGAGCTACACACGGAGCTCTCTCTTTAAGGCTGGCTGCACGCAGACATCGTCGACCACTACGTAGAATTCGCGACGCTTTTGCTCCACGAGCTGGGAGACATAGTAAACATGTGGATGACATTCAACGAGCCACTGACGCTCACTACTGCCGGCTACGCTAGCGGTGCAGGAGCTCCAGGGCTGAAAAAGTCCGACACTTTTGCATACATTGTGGCTCACAACGTGCATGCAGCTGTTGTCAAAGCGTTCCGAGACTTAAAGGCGAGCTCACCACCCGTTCTCGACCAAAAGGCTCGTATCGGCATCACATTGAACTCAGATGCTGCCTATTCGCTCGACGAGAGAAACCCGTTGGACGTCGCCTGCAGCGGGAAGGAAGATGCAGTTCGAACTGTACTGGTTCCTCTCACCTCTGGTTACTGGAGACTATCCGGCAATCATGCGGGAACTAGTGGGCGATCGCTTGCCGAGATTCACAACCGAGGAGACGGCGCTATTGAAGGGATCGTACAGCAGCAGGCGCTTTCATCCTCGTCATGGAGACCCACCCAGCCCGTGCCAACCACCAAATATGGACGCTTCTTCTTGTTCCACTCTGGAGTCGTCGATGCCACTTCCTCCTTCATAAGAGACGAGTCGTATAGATGGATACATGAGCTTCACACTGAGCACCACCTCGTAGGGCTCAAAGTGGACACGGCACACTTCACGACGTCCCCACTCTCCGAACTGGTTCGTCTGCACCAAGCGTAACTCGTACGCGTCTTCTCCCGTGTGCGCCATTTGGTCGGTCTCTTACTCAGGGATGCCGAACCTGGGAAGGAGGCGCTACATGTGCCCAAGCTGCGACTAGTTTTTATCAAGGAGCACAGACAGGGAGCCATCTCCATGGTCTCGCAGCTCGGCCTGTTCGTGTTGGCCGCCGTGGGCTCCAAGCTCATCGTTTACGAGTTTAAGTCAAAGCAGCTGATCGGCTGCGTGCTCTACGACAGCGCAGATGTACGTCGTGACGCTCAGTGAGGTCAAGGACTTTGTCATGTACGGAGACGTCTACAAGAGCATACATTTCTTGCGTTTGGGGGAGATGCAGAGGTAGTTGGTGCTGCTAGCCAAGGACTACGAACCTCTGGCGGTATCTGCGACATCGTTCAGTGTGTATGAGAAGAAACTGGCGCTGCTAGCGGTGGATATGGACGAGAACCTGCACGTGATGCAGTTGGCCCCGCAAAATTATCGAGTCTCGCGGTGGCCAGCGTCTGCTGCGAGTGAGCGACTTCCACTTGGTTGTCCAAGTCTCGAGTTTGTTCCGGAAGCGGGTGGATGCGTCTGGATCGGTGGTGTCTGCTACGAAGTGACGCAATACAGCACCTTTGTCCTACTACGTGAACGTCATGTGTACGTCTGAGGGAGGTGTCACCCTCTGGTTCCTGTCGGCAAGGGCGTGTTCCGTCGTCTCTTCAAGTTGCAGAACGATATGGTGAACACGCTGCCTCAGAATTGCGCGCTGAAAACCTCGGGAGTTCTGCATGCTTAAGACCAACGCAAAGCGAAGATATGGCAGACCGGACAAGAAGGAAGAAGTGCTTCCTGGACGCCTTCGTGCTGTGCCGCTTTTTGCAACTTGCTATGTGGCGCAGAAGGAGCTTGCACGCTGCAATCGGTACCACGCCCGAGGTGGTCATCACAACCTGCTCACGCCACGTCGACATTCCTGTAGTTGATGCGTTGTTAGTGACGAATCTCGTGGCGTGCAAACTGAACGTTCCAGCCCAAGGCTTCCGTGTCGTGGTCGCTAGTTGTCTTGCTTGGCTCATGGAAGGACATTCGGCTACTACATGTAGAAGAGTGTATTTTTACTTGGTGAAGAAGTCTTTCGGCGAAGAAGAGCAGCAACTTGAGATGTATATGTGTTCGCAAAGGCTCGCCGGTTGTTTCAATTGATGCGTGTGTATGCTCCGACAGGTGTCCGAGCGAATTGCAGTCTCCACTATCTAGCGTCGTGGATCGGCCAGGTCGAGCAATCGCATTGGATTTCTTCAATATTTACGCCTCTCTATTGCTTAAGTGTCGAGATCGAGATTAGATTACTCAGCCTGCGTTACATTCAGAGAACCAAAGTTGTGAACAGATTTCATGGTAAAGCAGCTCATACCAACAACAAATGATACGGTACAGTACAAGTCAAAACGAAATGATCCAAACCTTTTTTTTAGTTAGTGTATGTATATAGAAGTCGAAACCTGACAACCACAAACTCCCGCAGTTCTATCACTAGCCGAGCGCCGCCGCTACGCGGCGGTATTAGTAGTTTAGGTTTAGTTCTACTTGTTTTGGCTTTCTCGCCGAAGCGTAGCGGAGGCGAAATAATTAATTAAAAAAAATGCTGAACCCCTATGCGCCTAAATCATTTCAATAACCTGGGTAGCATCATGATTACCTGATTAAAATAATACTGTAATTCTAATGATCTTGAATCAAAATTCTGATGCAATCTCTGTTATTGTCGGCTATTACTGAATCTTCATCTTCTACCCAAAATCACATGCACTTCAAATAGCATTTATACAAACGCTACACAATATGTTGATATCACGGGCCATTTCTGAGCCGCTACGAAACTTAGCTCACATCAACGCAAGAGATAGTAACCGGTAATGACCTGTCCAGCTTGCGCTACTTACCTGCTTGTACTGCCTATTTGAGCTTGTAAGTAGCTAAAGATTGATCATTTCTCATACTAAATTCAATGAAAGCTAGAATATATTCACAGCCACGGAATGCTTCGATCGAGCAAACGTGTACCCCAAATCGTACGTTAGCAGCTGCAGGTCGTCCGCTGATAAACTGCCCTCGTCATACACTACACATACCCTGCAGCGTACTGTCGCCTCAAATGTAGAAGCCGAGTCGGTGGGGATCGACCGCAGAGGCTATCACCGTACCTGGTTTCACATTGCCCTTTGAGTCTCCGTCGCGTGGATTGCCCGGAAAAGCTCGCGCTTGATGGCGTTTATTCACCACAATGAAAGTCACTAACAACTTGTAGTCGTCAGAAATCATCTTGAAGGCTACACCCAGATCCCGCATTCCCATTTGCAAAAATGCTGGGCATATCACCGACACTCACACGATCCTGGCAATAGACCACGGCTCCGGTCTGCTCTCCGTGTTCTTGCAGAAAACAAGAAATAGTTATTTCAGCATTTATGTCATCTTTTCAATGCTGCGACGCGGGTTCTTGTCTGACACACGCTGCGTATTTCGCAGAATACGCCCGTCGACGACACAATTACGGCAATCGCAGGTTGATTACACACCCCACATCTACTACGTTCCACATCGACTCCAATATATGATCGAGGTCGCAGTACGGATCAGCGAAAGAGCACCTTTCAGCACCGCATTCTTGCCGCCAAGCCTCATATTAACCTTCGAGCAAACATTAGCACAAAAGTCCGCATTGGTCTTCCGTCGTTTCTCCGCCACAACGCACTGGTTTGCAATTTCTAGCACCGTATCCAACTTCCTCTTTACTTTTCCAAAGTACACAGAGCCTTATCTGGCAAGATGACCCAATTCAACAGCGGAGGGCCCTGCTCAGCCATTTCCAACAGCTCACGCGAACAAAGATCCATCAACTCGTTCCCCTCCATGCCACGGCTGTCGCTCTGGTGAATTAATACCTCTTGCTCTTGAATGACATCCCGCGCTCGTCTCCAGCCTCGCACAACTTGGCTTTGAACTTAAGAACTTTAGGATGGTCGAGTATTTCCTAGATTGACCACGCCCCAGGTTTGGACAGACACTCCACGGGCAAATTTTCTGCTATTCAGACTCCACTATCCGTCGGATCTGTGCTCCGGCACCTTCTCACAGTGCATGAAGAGTTCATCCATTACACGCGCTTGGTCAGTCTGAACTCGGAGCTCCATGGCCAGCCAAATGCCCTCAGGTATGGGCCGTTCTTAAACCCATTATGGCGGACACGGTCAACTTGTATCCTGCAACGTATTGGCGTCTCAAAAGTAGAAGCCGAGTCGGTGGGGATCCGTAGCCATAGAGGCTATCACCATACCTGGTTTCAGATTGCCCTCGATACGGTGCTCAACGACGACAACTGGGGCAGGCTGCGAGACCTGCTGGACCGTGTTCATGATGGTGAAGTGAGGAGTCAGGCCAAAGGCTTCTTCGCCCGCCTGTTCAAGGCGCAAGACGTCGCTGAAGTGAACTTTCGGAGATGCCAGTAATTCAGCTTTGATAGCATCCAGCTCAGCGGCTGTACACGCAGTCACAGCGGTTAGAAAGTGATATGAATATCCATGACGTCGCAGAACAGAAGTCACGTACTGGTTGTGGTGGCACTAAGACGATGGCTTAGGTCCTTGGCGAGGAGATCATCCAGCACTAACTCCAACCCTCGAATACCGCACTTGGCTGGCGATGACCTTCGTGCAAGCGTTGATGATCGAGTGTCTCCCGGCCTGCCGTTAGCATTCTTCTCCCGCCGTGTACTCTCTTTCCGAACTTTCTGCGCTACACGGAGAGGAATCGATGTTGACGAGTGTGTCTGGTTACGCTCATGTGACATATCCTCTTGAGGAATGTGTGTGTGTGTGTGTGTGTGGGGGGGGGGGGCTAGCAGGAGCTCGAGGTGGAGATAACACTCTAATTTCTAAAGGGTTAACGACAGCGTTAGATCATGCCGCCAGCAAAAGAATGCTGCAACTTACTCAAGGCAGCGTATTTGTTCCGCAACTCTTCAGCCTTCGCTGACTTCTCCGCGAGCTCAGTGAGCTTACTCTCCAACGCGGCTCCACGTTCTGCAGCTGCTCATCAGCGCGCACGGTAGCCTTCGTCAATCGAGCAAGATTCTTGATTGGGCTTGTCGATTCCTCAGCAGCTTTCGACTCGCTCGTTACGTTTCTTTTCGCAGCAGTGCTCGTCTCTTGTTGATCAGTGGGCGGTAAGTGTTTGTCGGCAACGTCTGATTTAGCGGTTAGCACATTGAATGAGGTAAAACATCAGCACAAAGCAATTTCAATACCTGTCTTGGCACACGGCACATCGCGAGCCTGATTGGGGATATTGGCGCGAGTGACATTCTTCTCATCCCCCGGATTCGCCTTAGGAAGCAACCGAGTGTGGGGTGGCGTGTATGGCGGCAGGTTAGCTGATTGTGTTCTTTGAGATTTCAACACTTTGGGCGTCTTCACGTATTTTCGTGGCGAAACGTGGACCTCTTTGGCGGCCGGTTTAGGCTTCTGATTTCTTTTTGCTTGCGCTGAATTGCCATCCGCTTTTGATGTTTGTGTCTTCTTGGTTGTGCTATCATTCTCTTGAGGTTGTTTACGTGGTGCTTTAGTCTTTCCAGTTTGATCGGAATCAGTGCTCAGGGTCTCCTTGGCAGCGGTACTCTGACTCTCTTGAGGTTCTTGACGAGGTGCTTTGGGGTTTTCAGCTCGACAGCTATCAGTGCTGCTAAAAGACCCCTCTTCGTCATGACTCCTCGCTCTCTTTCGGAAATTCACCGGTTTCTGTGTCGGGATTTCGGGATTCTCCGGTGCAACAGTAACATCCTTCGATTCTTTGGACTCTTTAGAGACGCTTGACGCGTCATCTTTTCCTGCACCTGGTGAGCTGCTTGTTGCTCGATCGTGTGACGTCTGACCAGATTTTGCTGGACTCGACCCTGTTTTCTCCGTAATATTTCCACTGTCCGAATTACTTCCATCAGGGAGTAGTGGGAGAGACGCGTGCGTGGAGGCGTGGCTTGCCCTGTTATCAGCGAACCCGCGCTTCCAGACCTCTTCGCCCATTTCCTTTCTCACTTCAGCCGTCGGCCGCGTACAATTCGTTTTGAACTGCACACACAGTGTGCCCTCCTCAAACTCTGGGAAATCTTCTCGAGCATCGCACTTGCTTAGCAACTCAGTGGAGAACGCCAGATTCTTCAGATTCTTCAGCCTCACTTCCCCTTTACTCTTGTTCTTCTTCTTCTTGAGATTCGTCAACATATTCCTCGCCTCTTCATCGGACTGGTACGCGGTCGCGTTACTCTTCTTTACCCAACACCTTCAAATAAGATATTTTAGCTAACGTTAGTTAAATTAAAATATATATTTATATGTTTGAAAACGCACCGACAGCGCTCCTTGAACTCTACTTTGTCAAGGAAGTCCACAAGTAGCCTTCTCGCCAGCCTCAAGTTATGTGAGCCTTGTGCCGAGCCGAAAGCTCTCCCCGTGAGCAGTGCCGGCCACCTGGTCACGAATCGGGCTTCGCCCAGCACTTGACAGTCCACGTGGGCGTGTGAAAGGGAGCAATCCGCTCGCTGTCGCGCCTTAGCTCCTCGTTGTACACGTCTCCCTAGCAGTCGTACGTCACCTCTACGGTCTCGGGCGTCGGCGGCCGCAGCACCTGCGCCACGTTCCAAATGCCGTCGCCGTTCACGATATCTACACGAGAAGAAGTTTGGAATTACTATATTCGAGATTGCGAAAGTGCGAGCATGTTACCTAGCCGGTCGCCGTCTTGGAGCACGGGCGCGGTCAATTCCGCACTCATTGCGCACTTCGAAGTCGATGGCTTATTATTGTACTCGTCACAAGTCCTTGGACCAAAATGTAGCCATCTGTTATGAAGATTCAGCATCCCAAATCCTATAGCAACAGCTAGATATAAGGGGTAAAATCGGGCGTAGATTTCAAAAATGTGGTCAGAA